CACGCCCACCTTCCCGCCCCGCCGGGCGGTGGCGGGCCTGGCGCACCTGCGGGTGGGTGGGCCAGCCCTGCCTCTCCGAAGGAAACCACGTGGTGTCCCCACCCGTGCTAATCGTTCTGAAAGTTCTAGATAGTAACCTGAACCTTTCCCGAGTCAAGGAAGTCACTGGTGTTCAAGGCCAAGGGAACATGTCAAAAAGTTTGTTTGCCTACATTGGCTGTGATTAGTTGGGATGTTTCAAATGAATCTGCTAGGGAACTTTTTCTTTTCACGCTTTCTCCCTTCCCTCCTTTAGCCTCCCTCCCTCCTCTCCTCTCCCCTCCCCTCCTCTCCTCTCTCTCTCTCCCCTTCTCTCTCCCTTCCTCCTCCTCCTTCCCTTCCTCTCTCCCTTCCTTCCTTCCTTACTTTGTCTTGGAGCTGAAAGAACCCTTAGAACAATCACTCAATGGCATGTGGCAGACTTGCTACTGAGTCCTTCTCTCACCATTAGGCTCCAAACCGATTCCCCACGTCAAACCATAACAACGCCGCGCGTTAACAGACTCCATAACAGACTCACTACTCCGCCCCTTTCTCCAAATCCAGGCAAAGTCTTCGCAGCTCCTGGAACTTTACCCTGTTAGTGACATATCCATATAAATGACTAGCAAGTGCCAAAAGTTTTTACACACCACACACTTCCTCTGCTACACTCCACCACCATGCTTAATCTCTCAACCAACAGTCCGAAGTCCTTATATGACCTCACCTAAGTGATCCTGGGTAATGAAGATGAAGCAGGGCAAGGATGTACAAACCCAAAGGCTTGTTAAATTGGCCTTTTCTTGATCTCTATCCATTGCAACTGTCTCTAGACAGGTGACCAGGATTTTGTCAATGTCACGAGAAAAAATTCACGGACAGACACCGAAGGCGATGAAGCAACAGCTCAAGTTTAATGGAAGCAAAAGTACACTCTTAAAAGCAAAAGTACACTCTCAGACAGGAGAGCAGGCAAGCTCTAGAGGGAGCTGGCCGCCTTTTTGTGGATTTGGAGGTTTTTATCTAACTAAGACGTGGAATATCCATGATCTTGGGTGGCTCTTGGTAAAAAGAAGATGGTTTCTCTTGGAATCAGGGAGACATCCCTTTTCTTTCCATGTTTGGTTTTTACAGAATTGTCATGGCGTCAGATGCATGATGGGTACAGCATTAACCACAATGCTTACTTGTTGTAATAGCTGTCTAATGAGGGAAGAACGAGGCCAAAGGTGAACGGGACTTTCTCTTTCCATTTTTTCAACACATTCTTCTACTTGTTCTTAGTGATTAGCATCTGCTTTTTAAAAATTGGGCAAAAAGTTCAGTGAGAAGTAATAGATATAACTATATCATAGCTCTAGTATCCTTTTATGAAAGTGAGCTGTATGTGGGTAAGGAGTCCAAATTGGTTCTTTCTGTGTTTATGAAACTCTTATAAACACAAAGGAATGTATACTGATGGATTGAGTTAGTTGCCATTAGACTCGGTGAAAACAGAACCAACATGGAGCCCAGATAGCCATGAGAGGCGGTTCCTGAATACAGAAGAGGTAGCTGTGGTAGCAGTGGATATGTGTAACTAAAATGTGAAGTAATTCCAATGTCTGCAGTTAATTCCACTGATGAAAAGAGTGCATTGTTAAAGGAAAGAGAAAGAAAAAATATTGGAGAAGTGGTGAGGTAGACACGTCAGGCAAGACTCCTACATTAAAATTTGACTACTTTTTGTTAAATAATGCAGACTTTGCTCATGTCTTTCAACAAAGTATCTTGGCTCTCTATAAAATTTTCAGAATTTTTGGCACAAGTTTTCAGATGTTACTCAATTTTTGTTCTGAAGCATTTTCATTTCAATTTGGCTATGCTCATACTTAAGTCTGGTGAGCTCTCTTGCTTACTGCAAATATATTCAGGTCTCTAGTACTAAGATTCCAAAGGGGTTTCTGGAACTCATGGTATGAGGAAATAAAAAACAAAAATGGAAGGAAAAGTTCATTCTTATGTGTACAACTAGCTTACAATTTACACTGAAATTATCCAACGATTATTCATCAGCACATAATAATTCATAAGTATACCAATTAATTTCATTTACTTTCAACTTCACAAGAAAGTACTTACTTCATAAGTAAGTGCTATTTGTCACTGTCAAGAGATAACTTTACAAAGGAGTAAGATTAGGACTCATACAGATGTAGATTTGAAAATATGTTAAAGACTTGTAAGCAAGAAACCAGGCAGATGTCATAAGAAGGTCAAAAAAGAAATCAAAACAGTACCCATTTATATGTGGTAAAGGATGTTGAAACTAATGTGCAAAAGGAGGCCAATGAAACTTCCACAGGTAAAGACAGAGATCAATTGAAACTCTGCTAGGTAGACCAGAATCTGCATGCTCTTAGATAAGAATTGTTTGCCGTAACTATTAGTTATCTGTAATTTACAGGCTCGTGAAATAGCCCAGATAGAATCAGAATCATATAATCCACAGGGTGTCATCTAGAGTTTACACAGTGCATAGTTTGCCAGTGAAGCACAAATGTTATCTCACATCACTTGGGAAACCTTATTTCTAAAATTTTAAAGTAATATTTGTCATGGAAAATGTCAAACTTACATAGAATAGTAATGAAAACTAATGTACAGATTGCTACAGCAATCAATGATATTTTGCCAATCTTGTATTATCTGCCTCTCCTACTTTTTTAATAAGCTGAAATATTTTAAAGAATATCTATATATTATATCATTTTCCTAGTAAATACTTCAATGTAATTTCTTTGTTTAACATTAGCACAATATCATTTTCAAACCTAAAAATATTAGCAACAATTTTCCAATACCTTTAATATTCAATCTATATTCAAATTTCCCTGATCATCTCAAAAATATTTCTTTAAAATTATTCAAATTAAGAGCCACCTAAATCTATACATCGTATTTTTGTGGTAAGCCTAAATGTTAAGAATATGCCTCCTCTTTTTTTTTTTTTTTAAATACCATTAGTTTGTTGGAGGAACCAGGCCAATTTTCCTTACAATTTACCACATTTTAGATGTGGCTGATTGCTTCTTTGTGGTATCATTCAATGGTTCCTCTTTCTTCTGCATTTCCTATAACTGATAGAGCTAGAGGTTTTATTAGCTTTAGGTTTGGTCTTTGGCAAGAATATTTCATGAGGTGACTCTTCTTTGCATCACATGAAGGAGTACGTATCATCTGTTGTCCATGCTTAGTATGCTAATGTTGATTAGTTAGGCACTGTTGCCCTGATCTATTCATTTTAAAGTTTTCCATTTCCTTTCTACCTAATGGTTTTAGCATTTTCTGATGACAATCTTTGCTTTGGCCCGTGATTTTATCAGCAATTGCAAAAGGTCATTCTCTCCTTATTTATTATAAGGAGTTTTCCCTGAATAGGAACTTTCCCTTATGAACTATTTTATTTATTTGGAATTCAATTTTTGTAGAAAAAGTAAGATCAATGCTGGATTTTCATTATCTGGCAGTATTTATTAAATTAAAAGCTGAAAATAATCATACCTATGATCAGCAGTCCCTCTTCTACACATATATACGTATGTTCATATGTGTGACATGTATAATAAATATGTGTGCATATATATGCATAACACATATGTTTGACCAAAATGTACCATATGTTTAATAAAAGACAGGGGGAAAAAAGGAGCTCTGTTTCTTATATATGCCAATTTGAAAACAATAAAACTGTTCATCACCAGTAGGAGGGATACATAAATTACGGTATATTTATACAATCATGTACTGTATGTAATGAGAATGAATAAACTAAAAGTATATACAACAAAATGGCTGCATTTCACAAACATAAGGTCGAATTAAAGAAGACAGGCACAAAGGAATTTGTGCTGCATCGTTCCCTTGACAACAAGCTTCAAACCTGGCAGAACTACTGTCTTGGAAATCTGGACAGTGGGTACTTGTGTGGGTGGGAACTGTTTGAAAGGACTCCCGTTCTTGCTCATTTCTACGGCACTGACACAGTTTCTCGGTGTGTTTTTTAGAGGAGAGATATAGAAAATGCATCGATTAAACAGAAAATACATGGTATAGCCACTATGGAAAACACGTTCCTCAAAAAATTTTAAACAAATTTACCTTTTTACCTAGAAATTGTACTTCTGAGTATTTATCCAAAAAAAATCAAAACAATAATTCATAAAAATCTATGCATCCCTCTGTTCATGGCAGCGCTATTCACAATAGCCAAGATATGGAAGCAACCTAAGTGCCTATCGACAGATGAGGATAAAGAAGTTATGGTTCATATATACAAGGGAATGTTACTCAGCCATAAAAACATGAAATTCTACCACTTGCAATAACATGGATGGACCTAGAGGTTATCATGCTGAGTGGAATAAGTCAGACACAGAAAAATACCATATGATGTCACTTATAAGCGGAATCTAAGGAACAAAAAGAACAAACAAATCGAAAACAGACACAAATATAAAGGACAATGTGCTAATGGCAGGGGGTGGGAGATGGGGAGGGTAAGGGAGCTGGATGAAAGCGGGGAAGGGTTAAAGAACCACAAATTAGTAGTTAACAGATGGTCACGGGGACGGGGACACGGCACAGGTGATGCAGTCAGTAGTCATGCAAGGGCTGTGTGTAGAGCCAGAGGGAAGATAAGAGTAATCGGGGCATCATTTCATAAACTGTATAAATATCTAATCAATGTACTGTATACTTAAAATTAATAATAAAATAAAATGTTAAAGAACGAAAAGAAAATGCATCATGAGTTCACACTTATTTTTCCTGATCAAATTTAAGATTGCCGTGTTTTTACTAATTTCTGTTGACTTTATACTTGTATCCCTGTTTTCTTACACTGACAATCTTACCACTTGTTAATAGTAACATAATTACTTATTTGTTTTAATTGAATACTTTTCATGTAAAAGTTTAAAATTGGCAGTATCGATAATACTACTAAAAATAAGATTATCGAATGCTGTTAAAGATTTCTTTATGGTACTTTTGGTTCTTAGGATATGTCTGTGAGGAAATAAAACTTTCTTGGTTTGGTCCATGTTCCTATAAAAAGCCCAAATCCCAAGCCCCGCAGAAATATCTTTACATACCATGGGAATTAGATATGGAGCTGTTTGTCTAGTTAATTGCCCTGACTTGAAAGAACAGTAAAACTCCTCTTATCTCCTGGAGAAAGCCAAATGACTACATCAGTTCCTAAGTTAAGTCCCTATGGTGCCAGCAAGATTGGACCAGATATTCTCATAGGAATTTACATTTCTGGGAAGAGAGGTCTGGAAACTAAGAGACTTCTATGCATGAAGTAACTTTTCTTTGAGACCATATTACTGCCCTACCTTGGAAGAGGCTCTAAGTAATCAATGAGTCAGTAGCCGAATCTCTAAGAGGTAAAAGCTGATAGGGAGAGAGACTAGCAAATCTATTTGGCTCCTGGAGAGATTTTATTTACATACCAAAGGTAGGGAGGTAGGTCTGAAGGAAACGCTTTTTAGGAGGGAAGGGTGACAGCTCCCTCTTTCCCCTTTACACGCAAAGAAAAATCATTTTCCTCAACACTTTCTAATGGGAGTGTTTGTCCACTTGTGTAGGAAAATTTCCTTTTAGTTCACAAGGGTCTCCCTGAGGTTAAGGACTAAGGCGACGGGGACTAACGTTTTTACTATGTTCTGTAAAGTATTCAAGAAGAACTCTGTCTCCAATCTAAAACACCTTGTATGCTCATTCAGGATAAAATTAATAAAGATGAATGTGAAAAACCCAAGAATATCTTATTAAGGTTAGTCAAACTACTGTGTTTTAAATTTACTTTAAGAAACGCTTTTCTTTGTGGAGTTGTTTCTGCAACCAATTTGACACATAAGTTTATTTGTCCCCTCCCCCTTTTCTTTCAGTTTTAAGAAATTATTTCTCCTTTTTATTTTTAATTATGTAAAACATTAAGTGATGTCAAGAAATTCAAATGTAGGAACATTCAGAGAAGTTATATTTTCATATCTGTGCCCTTTGTTCTGTTCCTTCCTTCACTATTGTTTTATATTGGTTAATGTCCTTATTTTCTCATTTTGAGAGTAAAAAATATGTATAACTAGCTCTATGCTTGCCCTTTTTGCACAAAAGGTGACATAGTATAAATGTTTTTATGCCTTATTTTTTTAACTTAATATTCAAGAGACTGGTTCAGTCCGGGTCCCAGCAGAAACGATGGCACGCTCAAAAGGAGTGGTCGATGGCACCTGAAGAAGGGAGCTGTTTTACAGGAGTGGGCAGACAAACCCACAAGGGAAGGTGAGACATATCAGAGTCAAATACTGCGGGAGGTACTTTAGCCCCTCACCTGAAGGGACGAGGGAAAGGAACAGTTACTGAGCCCAATGATACCTGAAGCTTTAGGAGAGAACTGTCTCTGGTTATGGCCCAAATTCTTCATCCCACCCTGTATCCACGCCTTTTGCTATGAGATTCAGCACTTCTCATGAAAGAGGCGAAGTCTGTGTCTCACCCTTGCATCTAGGCTGGTCATCAGGAAGGAGCAGCTCCCCGCATAGACCTCAAAACGCCTCTTGCGTTTCCATTTGTTTCTTGCATCTCCGCCAATGTCGGCTTCTAATCCATTGCTCCCTTGTGAAAGAATCCTTCTCTTGGGCACTAGGACCTCCAAACTTTCTGAATCAAAGCTTTTGGGTGTGGTAAGTAAAAATTCCTTAATTAGGTTATTAGATGTAATGCTAAGAGGAACTATGGTCACTTCTACTCCTTGTTTCCTGTACCTTTGCGTTATGGTAACGGTGGTCATGTACCATATATTGGTCATATGTTTAATGTATACCCTACATCCTGGGGGACAGGTCACAGATCTCGCACTGGTAACATCATAGGGTAAGCCCACTCAAACACTAGGCCATGCTCGTCCTGCCTCTATGAACTGGTTGTAGAAAGTCTCCATAAGGCCATAGATATGAGTTACAGGAAAGGTGGCAAAGCGATAGGGTCAGGTATGATGGGGATTTGAGTTACATGCCCATGAAATTTACCTGCGCTTCCTGACCTGCTCAGGCCCAGCTTTGAAGACACTCTTTTCACCTAACAAAAGTGCTGCCACACACATGATTTTATGATTCAGTAGATCAGATAACACGCAGTTGACAATGGGCAATTCAGGTTACATAGCTACTTGATATTCCAAAGCCAGCCATTTATTAACTATCCAGCATGGCCCAATAGCAAGCCAGGAGCTGCTTTTTGAATGCAGAAGTATTGTGAGCAGAACAAGGCATGACCTTACGAAACAACCTAGAGGTTTGCACTGTGACTCTCCTAATGGGGCCTCTCCATCTGCCATAGACATTTCTAGCCTGACTGTGGGGGCATATACCCAAATGGCAGGACAGTTGGCTCTGTAGCCTGGACCTACCGCAAAGGCTTTGCTTTCTTCAGGTCCCATTCGACACCAGCAGCAACGACTGATCCGACATGAGTCGGAGCAGCGTGCTCAAATGAGGTAATACTCTGCCTCCCAAATCCAAAGGGGCCAATTAAACCATGTGCCTCTTTTCTTGCAGTGGGGGTTCGCAGGTACAGCAACTTGTCTCTTCCTTAAGAGGGAAGTATCTCGATGTGCCCCAGACTAGAAATGTCATCAATGTGGCAGCCCCTGAATGAACGGGGGGTTTATCTTCTACCCTTGGGTATACAGCATTCTTACAAAAGCTTCTGTTGGCTATGTCCTCTCACCAGGCCCAATTAACACATAATAATGTAACAGACCAGCATGCTGAATATTTTCCATTTTCACCCCCATATACCCTCCACTCCTCTCCCCCATCCTGTGTGCCATGAGGCTGACTGGTTTCCCCAGTATGCTCCTTGCCCTCTGGCTCCTAGTAGTGTTTGGCCGATGGAGGGCACTAGCCAGAGTTGGGGGACAGTTTGAGGTGAGAGCTGTATTCCCCACAGGGTTGCAATTCCCCTCTGCTGAATGCCACGATGTCTCCCAGGTAGCCTGCTCTTACAGCTATGGCTGTTCTCTCTGGGTTTCCAGAACTACCCACTTTTTGTCCATTCGGGTCGATACTAGTTTGCTGGGGATGCTGCAACAAAGGGCCACAGCCAGATGGATTGAATCACAGAAATTTACTCTCTCAGTTCTGGACGTAGATGTCCCAAATCAAAGTGTAAGAGGGATTAATTCCTTTTACAGAGACTCTGAGGGAGAATCTGCCCCGTGCCTCTTCCTAGCTTCGGGTCTCTGCCCACAGTCCTTGGCGTCCCTCGGTTTGTAGCTGCGTCTCTCCAGTCTCTGCCTCCATCATCACATGGAGATGTCCTCTAGTATCTGTGTTTGTGTTTCAGTTTTTCTCTTATTATCAGGACGCCAGTCATATCGGATGAAGCCCACCCTAATTGAGTACGACCTCACCTTAACTTGATTACATCTACAAAGCCCCTATTTCAAAATAAGGTCATGTTTCTTCTGAGGTTTGGGAAGGACATGAATTTTGGGGGCTGGCGGGGAGGGGAAGGGGACACCATTCAACCCACCGCAACATCTAAGGGTGGTAATAACTTTGTGTTTTCCAACCCTTCACTATTATAAATGGTCTTTTTAAAAACAATCCTAAATTATCCAGTTTGAGCATTTTTCTGGTCAGGACCTGTTTCTGCTCAGGGTCATGTCTGACCAGCCATTGCATTATATGAATATGGTCGTGGCCTCTGGGCTAAATCATGTCAGCAAACAGGAGCATGTGCACAGCCCGGAGGTCAGAGCCGGATCCCTGCAGCATGAAGGCAAACTCGGTCTGATTATCTTTACTGAGAGAAGTTGGAGAGCCTTGTGCAAGTCAATAGCACAGTGTTTATTTGTTCCAGTCAGAAACCCACACCTAGAAACTTAGCTGCATTTGGCATCACCATCTTATGAAGTCTGTAATAATTTAGTCATAGTCTATGACCCATTTGGCTTTCGCTAACCAAAGAGGCGAGTTAAAAAGCCCCAGTCTCTGCAGTTACTGGGCAAAGTGGTACTGCTTCTGGTTTACTGTCTGGGAAATAGCAGGGTAATGGCCGTGGGAGGGCGGGGGAGGCAGGTTATCAGGGCCTCTACTTGGCTCTTTCTTCTAAAGCAGTGTTTATTCCATGGGTCAAGGAACCAACATGGGAATTCTACCAGATACTAAATGTGTTTATTTCTATTGTGATTATCTATTATTCTATGTATTTGGTGAGTGAAGAAATTACTATAGGATCAGTCTTCCATCCTAGCAGATCCATTGTAAACTAAACTCAGGTCAAGATTCCACCTATCACTCAATCTCTATAAGCCCCGTTATGACCAGAGACCATGATGGTATTTTGGGCTCTGGTGATTAGCTTGATAGTATCTGGTAAACCTCAGAAACTTTAAATATTCCCTGTTCCTCATCGCTCTGTTACTCTGATAATGTCAAAGTGGATGCAGGTCCTGCTAGGCTTGATTTGGGGGAAAGCTTCATATTATGCATCTGTTGCATAACAGAAAATGTCCTCAAAAGCTGTGGTCCCCAACCTTTTTGGCACCAGGAACTGGTGCTCCTACGAGAATCTAATGCCTGATGATCTGAGGTGGAGCTGAGGCGGTGATGCTAGCCCTGGGGAGCAGCTGCAAATTAAGATGAAGTTTTGCTCACTGTCCTGCTGCTCACCTCTCACCTCCTGCTGTGTGCCCCGGTTCCTAGCAGGCCATGGTACCAGTCCATGACCCGGAGTTGGGGGCCCCTGCCCCAAAGGACCTAGCTTTCCTCTTAATTAAGGAGGGCCAATCTGTGAACAAAGTCCTTATTTAGATGTGTAAACTGGGCACTTATTTGTCCAGTTTTGAAACATGCCTACTGTTCTCTAGCTGTGCATTAAGAATCATTCTTGTTAGGAATATTGCTATCAATCATTTATTTGGAAATGGCATGCGTTAAAGTCTATATAAAAGTTTATTCATTTAAACAAAGACATGTACCACTGTTACATGCCAGGGAATATTCTAAACTATTTATATTATGTCATATAATTTTCACCACAATCCCACAAGGTAAATTCTATAACTCCCATGTGATAATTGAGGAAACTGAGGAACAGAGTAACTTGCCTAAAATCACACAGCTGGCAATCAGTCCCCCTGAGATTGTTTGTGATGAAGAGTCCATACACTTAACCATCATGCTATGTTGTCTCAAATGTGCAATTATTATTTATGAGTTTAAATTGTGGAAACCAGATTATTTTGTTATAGAATTGACTGATTGGATCAATGTAGCTGTTTTCATGAATAAAATTAAAACCCTCAAGTAAACATTAAGTATAAGTAATACCTATCATTTTTGCCAGATACTGTGCTAGATGTTTTACACACATGATCATTCCTTTCACAATAGTGCTACAATGTGGGTCACTTTTACTCTATTTAGAAATGAGGAAATTGGGTCTCCAGAGGTTATTATTAGAAACCTAATGCCACTCAGCCCTTGAGTGCTGGGCAAGATAACTAAATGCAGTTCTTGGTACTAAGTATCTGGCTACCTGAGCTGCTAGCATATTAGGAACATTGTGTTCCTTTAGATCACTCCCTCGGAGACATGGCGTTTGACACTAATTTCATGTAAAATCCAACAACCGAGAGTGAGTCCCAGAATACCACTGCTCACTCAAGTGCACAGCTTTGGCTCATCTGGACTCACAGAACTGAATCACACACTGCTTGTCATAATCTGTGATACCAGGTGATACAGTCTTTCCTGCGGTAAAGCCGAAATGCACTGGGCTTTGGACTCAGAAAGCCAGAGGTTGGAATCTGATTCTGATACTCGCTGGATTTGTGACTCTAAGATAAATTGCCTCATGCTGGAGGCTCAGTTTCTTCCTCTCTAAATGGGGCTCCTTCTTTTACTTCTTGGGGATGTGGCAAGACTCAAATCAAACAAGATAAATATATGTGAAAGTGTATTGTAGTAAAAACACATTTAGAATAACAAATAAGCACCCTTCCGTTTGCTCAAGGTCTGTTCAGTCTGATAAATTCATAATACATATTTTGCTTCGGCATGCCAAATGCTCACACACATTTTTTGTGACTCTGGCATTGACTACTAATTTAAATCAGTTAATTTTGTGTCTGCTCTTTTGCTACCTGCGTCCCTATATGAATTTATGTCAGGATCACATGTAGTCTATTCTGATTATGGTCCTTGTCTGAACTTATACAGTGACACCTAACTCTATCCCAAGTCCCTGAACTTTGTTCCATCACTTCTGAGGGATTTTCCCACATTTTATCTCTAAAATTGAACTATAACTAAGTGGCTTCCTATAATTACTGTCAGTCAGGCCACAGTGGAGACATAGTAGATGTTGCTTCACACATTTAAAAGGTGGACATGAGGACTGGCCGAGGGACTGTTATTGAGTTGTATATATATATATAAAAGTCTTTATCTTTTTTAGGTCTTAAAGAGCTCTTTCTGTGAACATAAAGTAAAGTATTTGGGTAAAAAGAAGGCAGTACATTGTAATGGTTTTTCTTTATAAGTGATACATAAAATAATGGTGCTGTTTACAAAAAAAAGTGGCACCTTAGGTTTGATAAAATAATATATCAGCTTTACCTGTGCTTTTGATTCTGTTTACTTCTTAGTCAGGACTTAATTTATGACTCTAGCCCCTGCTCATCAGTATCCCTTCCTGCTTTGATATTTTAAGAGGTACAGCATCAAGTCCTGATAACCTGAACCGACTAAATCTTTCTTTTATGATGTTTAGTGGGTGAAG